TATTGCTTTATATTGGGCATTTATATATATTTTTCGAGTTTGATGTGAGAGAAAATACAATAATTGCTCTTTTGAATTTGTGATTTGCGAATAAACATTTGGAGGTATTAAATTATAAATAGATTTTATAGTATCAAACAGTTGATCACAGTTAGGGCATCGCATTTCATGATATTTGACACATTCACTAAATGCATAGAGCAAACAATGAGAGATGCTAGAATTATATTCTATACGATCATTTGTTCTAACTTCTAACTCTTTTTCATAACTCCATTTTATATATCTTTTGAGTTTTTCAAGACGATCTAAAATTTCATCCTAATAAAATTATATAATTAGTAGGTAATTATAAATTTATATTAAAAAAAAATATATATATATATAAACTAACTTGAGAATCTTCATTAATGATGTTATTAGTTATAATCTTTTTTAGATTTTCAAATATTTCATATCCATAGTTGTTACAGATCATACAAAGCCCACTAAGATCTTCACAGTATTTAAGATTTGTTAATTTACTTAGTCATACTATAAAAGCAGTTCTTTTCATATCATCTAAGTATGTCTCACTAAATTTTTTTTATAGTGTATTTTTTTGATCCTTTAAATACAGAATTGATAATTCTGTTATTGGGTCTATATGATATAAGCTCATTAAAACATTGTCTCAATTCTAGAAAAATAATAAGAAATACTTTTCTTGAACATCTGTTAGTCTTTAAACAGTTCTTTTGGTTTTTTCAAAAGTAATGCACTAGGTCCATAAAGCCAAGTATATTTTCTCGCCTTGTTGATCATTTCTGATACAACCTAATAAGCATTAAATATTAAATGATTATTGAAATTTTTAATATTATTATATATAACTACTTAAGTTTGGAATTGGTTTTATTTTTATATGTTAAAACCGATTTAAACCGGTTTTAACATATAAAAAATAAAACCAATTCTAAACTCTACTACTTACACCTAATTCTTTTTTAAGAATGCGATATTTAAAATTTAGAGCGATAATTAAAAGAATGCGAGTTATACTATCTGATCCTTTTTTATTCGAAAACAATGCATTTCGAAAACTGTCCCACCAAATTTTATCCTGCGAATCTCTAACTGATTGTGAACTTTGTACTAGCAATGAAGTATTGTTATTTAATTGAATAATATTACTTTTATAAAGATTTTCTAATAATTCTTTGTCAGCACTAGAGTCTAATGCTTTACTCCAAAATTCTATAGATGATGGTTCTTCTAAAACTGGTATTATATTGGTACATCCACAAGCAGTAAACATCGCCCTCCATGCCTGTAACTCTTTTTTTTGAAAAATATAGTTGGGCAAATAAACATTTTGTAATATAAGTAGAAATTGAACAATGGAGCTTTTTTGTTGAGACCAATTATTAAAAAGAATTGGCCAGTTAACCATTGTATTGGGAATCTTTCATGATTTTATATGATGATCAAATACTTTCTCTAGTTGTTTATTTGTCTTTTCATTAACAGCACATATAAGTGATTCATTTTTTAATGTATTTATATGTTCTTGAACTAATGTGTTTGTAATTCCAAAGAGATATAACCTAGTATGTTTTTTAAACAATTCTATTTGATCCCAAATTTCATCTGAATCCGTTCCTGTAATTGTATTAATACATTTTGAATCTAAATAGATTTCTAAAACATATTGATATTCTTCGATTTTCAACACAAATAGATGTATTTCTTTACAATAACGTGCTGTAAATGAAGAAACAAATCCAGTACCAACACTGAAAAATCGATCTTCATCTAAATCACCAATACTTGATACTACCACGTTAAGCTTATCAATGCGAAGAAATATTGAAAAAATACTATGTCAGCGATCAAATGTTGAACAATAACCTCATTTTCGAAACCTATAGCAGCTAAACCCGAGTATTTAGTTTTTGTTTCAAAAACTTGTTTATAGTATGTGCTGATTGCCGTTGATGGACATGATTTAATTTTGCTTTTAATTTCACTACAAGTACATTGATAACTCGGCTTTAATGGATTTTAAGCATCAGTTACAACTGCAACTACGAAGTTTTTATTATTAAGTTTACATTCAATGCACAAGTATAAGCGATAAGGTATTATAAAATGTTTTGTTTCTGTTTCTACTTCTAGATCAACTTCTTCCCACCATAATCTAGACCAAATTCCATAATGCAGTTGAGGGTCTATAAAGCACACTATGGAAAAAATTTAGTGAGACGTACTCAGATGGTATAAAAAGAACTGCTTTTATAGCACGACTAAATAAATCAACAAATCTTAAATACTGCGAAGATCTTAGTAGGCTTTGTATGATCTGTAACGACTACGGATATAAAATATTTGAAAACCTAAAAAAGATTATAACTAATAACGTTATTAATGAAGATTCTCAGGTTAGTTTATATATATTTATATTTAGTTATTTTTTAATATAAATTTATAATTATCTACTAATTACATAATTTTATTAGGGCGAAATTTTAGATCATCTTAAAAAACTCAAAAGACATATAAAATGGGGTTATGAAAAAGAGTTAAAAGTTAGAACAGATAGTCGTATAGAACATAATCTCTGCATCTCTCATTGTCTGCTCTATGCATTTGGTGAATATATCGAATATCATGAAATGCGATGCCCTAACTGCGATCAACTGTTTGATGCTATAAAATCCATTTATGATTTAGTACCTCCAAATATTCATTCTCAAATCACAAATTCAAAAGAGCAATTATTATATTACCTCTCGCACCAAACTCGAAAAGTATATCTAAATGCCCAATATAAAGCAACACTGGCTGAGCTCAACTCTGATGGTGCACTTTTCATTGCAGACTATAAAATGCATATACTTCCTCAGTCTGCACATGAAACAAAAAAAGACTTTTTCGGGAAACGTAATTGGACTTTACATACAATCTTGGTTTTTACCAAAAAAAACCAAAATGAATTAGATATCCAGGCATACGACCATTGGTCGATGGATACCAAGCAGGATGCTTGGTTCACAGTATTAGCATTTGAAGTCGTATTTGAAAAAATGAATAAGAAGTTCAAATGGATCAAAGTAATATCTGATAATGGACCCCATTATTATAACTCTGAGCTAATAGCCATAGTGGGGTACTGGCATGAATGGTATAAGGTTGAAGTTCGTAGTTGGCTGTTCCTAGAACCTGGAAAAGCTAAAATGATAGTAGACTCACACCATGTAGCAGTTAGTTCGATATATTTTTTGATCAAATATTTTAATCAAACTTGAATTTTTTTTTTTTTAAAAAAAAAAAAAAAATATTACTGTGAATTAGTATAAATATTATAAGTGGAAAAGAATTTAAGTAGATTCAGAATTTCTTTATAAAGTTAAATTTATTTTATACAAACCTATACTCTAACCTTAAAATTCCAAATCTACTTACAACATAAGTACATCTATTCCTTTATTAAGGCTAGTTTAACATTTCTCTTTGTAACTAATATTATTTAACATACTATCATTTTAAGATAACACATGCAATAAAATGATATCTACGGATCGAATTGAATTTGGAAACAGGAGATGATATAAGTGAAGTTGCCAAAGGCTTGTCTGGAACAACATTAGCAAATATAGAACCAGATCGAGCTGACAATGAGAAAAATGTTAGTGAAGAAAAAAAGTTAAAGACTAAATCAAAACAATTAAAGGAATTTCAAAGCTGTTCTTTTGGAATTGGCCTGTGAAGGATGAATATAGTGGATATATTTGTGCACGTTCACTGCCTCATATCGGGGAATGGAATAATTTCGCACTAGCATATGTGAATGGACTTTGGAATATTTCACCTCATCAGCCACGGCCAGCAATATCGGAATATACTACCCTACAATCTACATGGACAATTCCTATAAGCGAAAAATCTAGTAAGTATTACTTGATTTGTTTAGCAATATTTAATCTGAATCTAAATCAATATTATTAATTCATATACTTTAGCTGAAAATGATAATAAATTCGAAGGTATGCGACTATATTATATTAATCTAACAAATTAAAATAATATTAACTATTGAAAACCTAAAGATTTAGTTAATATAGATCAATGTGAAGAAGATCAATGTGAAGATAAAATAGAAAAATATAATGTAAATACTAACTTTAAAAAACATAATGCTAATTTGTGTTTATTTAACACTCTTTAATACTCAAATCGACACATTTTAGACGTCCTAATTATAGTGCCAAGGTAAATATTCTAAAACCTAATAAATGTTATAACTATCTCATCTACTAATCAAATAATTGATAATTAGTATAGTAGAGGTTGAATTCCTGCTGCATAAAGAGTGGACATTGAAAGGCAACCAGAAATTTGGAAATAAGGGTAGTGGTATTAGAATTAAAAAAAATATAAAAGCAATGTTGGAACGTTTCTTTTTAAATGGTAACCAAAGAAGCCAAGATAAAATGAGCTCACAAGCTATACACGATGAACTTTTGAAATATGCTGAGGCTGGTGACATAGAAAAAGAGGATATTTCTCAAATCCCAACAATACATAATTAGATAGGCTCATACTCTAGTGCTTTTAAGCAAAAGGCATCAGAAACAAGTTTTAATCAGGTCATTTGAAATTAAAAATTCATTTATTATAATAAACCACGCTATATGGCGCCCCACTAAAAACAAAAAAAAAAAAAAAAAATTCGTTTAACATTCTCCCCCCTCCACTTCTAAAGCTCCCCCTTAAATTAAACAATCTCGGAAAGTTAGACAACTAACATTAAACATTAGTTCAGATTTAGGCTAACTTGAACCTAAGTTTGGATCCCTCCTCTGAACAAAAACCAAAAAAAAAATTGTTAAACGAAAGTTTAAATTCAAATGGCTATAGTATAATAAATAAACTTTATTCGTTTTAAAAATTTTTACTAGTATAATAAATACCTCATAATTCACTATGTAATATTAGATCATCTATTTAAATCTCTGTTAAGCACCTTCGTTATGACTTCGGTAATGGCATCCAATATTCGTGTTGTTGTATTGTCAATCTACTTCTTGTGAACTAAATTTTAAAATATTTGTTTAAAATAAAGTAAATCATAGTATTAGTATATTTATACTTGACTAATTTACATATACGTATCATAGTAAATGCCGCGTGTCCCAAAAGTAAAGTTTTTATTGAAGTGCTCTTGTAAATAATGGTTTTAAAGCCAAAACTGTATAGTATTACTCTACAATTTGTATTATTTATTTGAAAAAAATTTATTTAAAATTTATTAACTTCTATATAAGCTAAAAACCTGCTTTAAACCTTACATATATGTGATCTGCATCAAAATTTTGTCTAGATGTTTGACAGATCATCAATTAAGTTATTTAATTTGAGTATTGTTGTATATAGAAGATTTTTAAGTATTTGTAGAGCTGATAAGTTATTGATATGTATATAGATATAAGAAGATATTAGAAATATGAGTAGAAATATGATTATTGCTTCTATTTCTACTCTTGTTGAATTTAAGGTATATGTTAGAGTAGTATTGAATTTTATTTGGTTATTATTAGAGAGGATTTAACTAAAATCTGATTTAATAGAAGATGTTTGTAAGTAGTAGATAGATGTATTAGTATAGAAATATAAGTTATTAAGAGAAAGGTTAAGAAAACAGTTATATATTTTTTTTTTTTAATTCAGCAGTCAGGCCATAACTTTATTTAGATTTGT